TGTGGGAAAGGGTGCTGCTCCACGAGAGGCTGGGGGGGGCCGAGCGGTGGCTGCCGAGCCAGCAGGCGCACCTTGGGAGTTGTACAACAGGGACAGGTCTGCAGGTCCCAGTAGAACTTCGAGCTTAACAGTCAAGGATTGAGATGAGAGGCAGGTGGAAGAGTTCTCCCCTCTGAGGGGCCTTACACCTGCCTTGAGAAAATATTCGCGATGGGCCTCCAGTGCCCCTCAGAAGATACGTGGGCAGGTAACAAGCTCATGAGCTAGGAACCCTGACCCCGAATATTTCCCCAGGCCCCAGGCTAGGACCCAGTTCCCTGTGCTCTGGGGAAATATTTCTGACCTGTGGGAAAGGGTGCGGTAGAGCCCGTGGCCTAACAAAGGCAGAATGAAACAAAAAAAGTCCCTTCTGAGCACAGAAAAGTCCCCCCCTCAGAGGACAGGGCCCAGAGGGCTCTGAGACAAAGAATCTAGAGGCCACACGCTGCACATGGGTAGCACTGAGGGTGGGAGGGGTGTCATCTCACATCGAAATGTACACATATATTAGAGGGTGCAATTCCTCGGCTACTGTAAAATGTCTGACAGCGAGGTAATAATCCGTGCTGATCAAGTCTGGGAGCTAGTCTTCACCCAAGACAGCTCGTGTGTCTGCTGGAAAAAGGAGCCTCAGGGAGCACGTCCAGGCCCAGCTGTCCTTGCCTCACCCCCAGAGACACCAGTGGGAGCATCCTGTCCTAGCCTGAAGCTCACACGGCGTGTGCGATTTCATGCGGGCTGCAGCCCCCCGACAATGTCCACCACCTGTTGCATAGCATCTGTCAGCCTTTTCTTCAGCGCTAGAGAGCTCGGCAGACCCCAAGGCTCTTCAGTCAGCTGCCTGCCGAGAAGCCAAAGGCGCCAGAGAAGACACAGCCCTCCCATGAGTCAGGGAAGAGAGCGAGCTGGCTTTTAAGGTTTCCAAGAATGCAAGCCCTTATTGTGTGTGCACCGGCTGCAATGCATTCTGGGATCTACTGTCCAGACTGTCCCACCGTAACCAAAATGTGCAAATTACTAAAGGGGAGAGGGAGGTTAAAAATCGAGTGAGTGTGAGTCTTTGTAAGACAGAACCGCCAGGCTTTTTGGTCAGTTAGAAGCCACTGAGGTACGCGATTCTTTTCTGCAGTTGCTGTTGCCGACACCGGAGCTGCCTTTTCTCTGTAGCCATCCTCTTCTCGGCCCCCACCAGGGTCTGCAAGTATTCCAAGGCCTTGCTTAGGATCACCACTTTGGGGGCTTTCGAGCAGCTGGCCAAGGTGGGTACCTGGTCCCTGAGGGCCAAGAACCGCGAACGGAGGTCATTTCGCCTTTTGCGCTCCAAGAAGTTGTGGTTCTTCCTCTTGGTCACGTCCTCAGTATCAGAACTGACAGGTTTGGGGTGACAGGGCAGGGGAGCCTCGCTTTCTCCAGGTGGGGGGCTCACGATCTCTTCATCCTCCTCATCTTCCTTTTCCTCTAGGGCATCTCTTTCCAGAGCCTCTTCTTGGGGACCCCTCTCTGGGGCCTGTTCTTGGGGGCAGCTTTCCGGGGGAAATCGAGCGGCATAGTTGTGCTGTTGCTGATGGATGGAGATGTGGAAGTGTTTCATGCAGGGGTCCAGAGGGTCTGCTCGCACCGTGATGGTGACCGGCTTCCGTAGACCCAGGGACTGTCTCTTCTCTACGGTCACAACATCAATTTCTTCACCCTCTGTCCAAGGAGAGAGACCAAGAGAAGAAACACATGCCATGAGAAACATCCATGCAGCCTCTGCACCATCAGCCCGCTAGGTGGGGTGGGGGGTGGGGAGGAAGGTAACTTTCTACCAGTGTAGACATAAACAGACAAGCCAGGATTGGGTAAGGGCAGTGTGAAGGAGAGGAGGGGAAGTAAGCAAGAAGGAAAATATTCTCCAATTTCCTTTTGCACAGCAAGGCTTAGATAAGAACAAAAGGCAGACCCAAGCCCATAGCCCCCAGTCTGCAAAGGCTCTCCCCTCCCCCCACGGAGGGGGCTGGAGAGAAAGAGCTACCGGCCTGGGACAAAGTTTAGCTATAAAGATCTCCCTAGTCGGGCTCTTTCATTCCCCATCAGAATTGTAAATGAGGGGTCTGGGGGCAGGACTGCCCTTTGTTGCTCCCCAGCACAGCCTGCACTTGGGGAATTGTTACTTTTCACAAGTTATAAATCCTATTATTTCCCCACCTCTCTATTCTGCCATTCCTTTCAGCTGAGGACTCCGGGAAGGGAGGGCTACAACCCATCCCTCCTCGCCCACAGGAGGGAGGGAAAGGGTTTCCCCCAGGAGCATTTTGCTCTTGGGTTCAACGGGTTTCTAAAGTCACCCATCATTTACAGGTTGCCTGCCCCCAACCCCGTCCCTGGCCCAGAAGACGGTTGGATTTGTATTCCCAGGCCGGGGAAAGCCTCGGGAACTCCACAAAGGTGCAAGAGACCATCTACCAGCTACCTGCACCGGAGGCAGAGACCGGGCAGCAGGAACAGCAGGGACCTGGAGATACCTGGACACGGTCCTGTCACTCCCTAGCCGAAGGCCTCTTAGGCGAATCCAGCCAGAAGAAGGGCTACTGGGGGAACCCCCCTCCTGCTCCCCGCATTTTGCAGCTCCCACACAGAAGGCCACCTTCATGTTTTTCCGCCTGTCAGCAGAGGAGCTCGGTTCTCAGCCTCTTTTGCATATCAGGAAGCTTGAGCCCCTTTGTCAGGAAGGCTTCCATTGTGTGGACAATCGCATTATTTCTCCATTAATAAAACCTGACCATTCAGCCCTCCTGGCCCCAAAGCCTGGGATTGGCTGGGTAAGCCCTGTTTGGAATGCTGTTTTCCCCAGCCCCTAGCTCCTATTGGCTGAGCTCTGCCGTCAGTCACTCTCTCCAACCCCCCTCATTGTTTGCAATCTGTTGCATTTTGTTCTAGGCCATGTGGCCTGTGAGTGAACCAGGAGCCCAGAAACAGGTTCAGGTTAAAGAGCAGGGCAGAAAATGATTCAGAAGGCTTCCCTACATCCCAAACCTTTCACTTTCAGTGTGAAACCTCATGGCTGAAAGAGGCGCTGAGAAAGAAATCATTGAAGACATCATTCTCCTTTCAGAGAGTAGTGTCTAACTCTGTCCCCACGAGCAGGACCATTGGGTCCATCCCCTTCATGGACCAATGGAGGAACTGAGACTGCCCACACATTCTGATCGCAAGCCAGGCTCTCCAAACTTCCCAAACCACGCTCTTTCCCCCCCCCCCCCTGCCCAGCCTTTGTAAAGGTACATCTTCCTTGGTTTACTGTAAGATTCCCATCCCATCCATTAAAAACAAGTTCTTGGTGCAGAAAGATTAAAAATGACTTGAACACAGTAGATAAAAAAAAAAAGGATTTTTAATTTTTTTCTTGTTATCCTCGTTTCCACCCTCAAGCGTATAAAATCTCCCAGCTCCCTCTCCAACTGTCACATAAGTCATCCTTAAAAGCTACAGCGAGCTTTCTCTGTGCCTATTTAAGTGCCTAGCCTCAGCCTGAACCCTACAAAAGCATCCTCTCAGCACTTCTCATGGGTACGTGGGTCTAAGAGGCTGGTAGGAATAACGGAGCCCGGTGTCACAGATGCTCCAGTCCGTCCTCAGCAAGGTTTGCACTTGCATCAAGGATGGGAGAGGAGGGCCTGAACGCAAAGACTGAAACCCCGGCACCTAGCCGAGAAGTTGCCGCTAAGTAGAGGCTAGTGAACGCAGGGAGCAGGTGAAGGAACGGAGATAAAAGGGCACCTTCTCAGCTCAGGCTAAAGCAACAAGGGAGAGTGTAACCATAAGCTACCACGAAGACCCTCTAAATCAAGGGAGAGGTGCCTGGTTGGAAGGAAAGGTTGGGGAGAAGCCGGCCAGATGGCAGGGGCTCACCTCTCCTGACTTCTCTCTGTGCCTCTGTTTTCTACCGGCTCATGGGAGCATTCATTCCTGCCCTACTTGTGTGACAGTAATGGTGAGAATGCACAGGGCTACGGGGTGGGAGACACAGGCAGAGGGCATTATTGGCATTTTAAACTAAAGCAGGCTGGAGACCTAGGTTTCTAAAAAGATGAGGGCTTTGGCTTTGCACAAAAGGCTCCTCAGCTTCTTCTCTCCCTAGGGAAGTGTGAGTTTCCCAGGGAAAAAGGCAGCAACAAAAAAGCTTCATTATTGGAGTGACTCTTAAGGGACCCCTTCCAGCCTCCGGAGGACAGAAATCCCCTACAGTCCAACCCGAGTATTGTACCCTCTAAGCGCCAACCCTCACCAGTCTCCCTTGTCCCCTGGGGCGCCAATCATCATCAGAGGGACGCTGGCTCCCACGCCACTTCTCCAAACTGTTTACCAACACACCCACGTGCCAGACAGACACCGCTGGGGGCTATGCCGCCAACATCAGCCCGAGAAAGGGGGCGGTGGCCGCAAGGCTTGCGAAAACCCAGTGCCTGACCTCAAACAGCAGCAGAGCTCCGGCCACCCATGGGGTGCCTCCCTCTTGGATGGCCCGAAGCGGTTCTTACCCGAATCGCTTGGGCTCTCGGACCCCGAGCAGGCCTGGCTCTTGGGCTCGCCCAGCTGACAGGGGGCTGCGGGTGCCGGATTGCCTGCTTCTAGGCTAGGAGTACAGTCCGGGGCGGCGGGAGCCTTGGGCGGGTTCCCCCGGGGGCCACCAGCAGCGAGCCGGTCGCTCACCGCTCTCTCCAGCCGTTCCCGGGCAGAGAAGCCGCTCCACATGCAGTCTCGGCGGATGATGGAGGCATAGTTCCTGCCCCAAGCTTTCGAGTGGCCCCGGGAGTCGGTCTCGTCCCCTGCGCCCCCTCCGGGCCACGGCTCTGGAGGACCAATCCCAGGGGCCAGGTCCCCGGCGCCGGAACCGGCGCCCCAGGGCGGCGACGTGGGGGGCGAAGGCACCAGCTCGAATTTCTTCCAGATGTCTTCGCTGGGCGCCGTGGAGCGGTAGAAATCCTCCCCGCAGTCATAGTCGTAGAAATAGTGCTGGTACGAGTCGAAGTCCATGTCCGCTCCCTGCCGGAGGGAAGTGGGGGCCTGCTGACTGGGGTGCCGGCCGAGGGAAGGAGGCGTCCCCGGGTCCCTCAGCACAGCCGGCAGCGGGCTCTTGTCCCTCCCCAACCT